GAACTTGAAAACGCAACGTAAAGCTCCACAATAACGAAATTCAACAATGCCTAGAAAACTGAAGTTGTTCGAGAAATTTCTAATTTCACTCAAAAACTTTCACCGACGTCAGGAAAAAAGCCAAAATAATTCAGAAGCTGAAAAAAAAAAACTTTCAACAATTTCGAAAATTAGCCTCCGCCGTTATGTCGACGGCATTTTGGTCCTCAACTGCTCGGACTTTCTTTCTTTCTCGAGACATTTATGGCCAGGACCTAGACACATAATGCACAGGTTCAGGTACCACTGTCAATTACTTAGACTTGACCCTTACCATAGACAGCAATGCTCGAATCACTTCTTCACTATACTGCAAGACCGATCTTTTCACCTCCCCTATTATTAAATACTTCTCCCTTCGCAGCAACTTACATCCTTCTGTACACAATGGCCTCGTCGACAGCCAGCTTAACAGATACTTACTTAATTTTCGAATCCACTTATCAAGGATTCATCACGTCCGCTCGTCCACTTCTCCGCCACTACTCACACAAGGGACTTTCTTCTCATAGCATTAGTCGTCTAGTCAACACATTTGTCCACAAACATACATACCACCTTTCTAAATATTTCCCTGCTACGGTGGCCCATTGTCAACGTCTGATACACGCTCTTCTACAATAGCTGTACCACCCAACAAGCGCGTATAAGTTGTCTTGTTAGCGTTCCTTTTTCGTTGCTACCTCCTCCTCCCGACACTCTTCCACTTCCACATTATATCCTTCTCATCCTTTTCAAATGCCCAAAATTTACATTTTTTAAAAAATTTTGCCTGTTAGTATCTCCTTCTCTGTTTCTCCTTCCGTTCCCTCTTCTCCTCATTTCTTAACACTGCGATCGTCACACTGACGAGGTCCAGTCGCGGTTTTGAGCTAAGACGTATATGACTTCATGGACCGAAACGTCTTAACTCTCCCGTTTTTATTTCTCCTGCGCCGGAAATATTCCTACCTCTTGCACTACATAGTTCCTTCTATTCCTGCCTTCTTTTCTACGTTCTTCATATTATTTCCATGCTATAATCATGCGATAATCAGATTAGCGAAATTAAAGATGAATAAAATGGAATGGCTACTAATATGAAATGTCAATAATTGCAAAGAGTTAGTAGAACAAAAACAACACGGAATAATGTCAGAACGAAATTACAATGTGGTCGAGACAAGCAGCGGTCAACGAAACATTTTCATGGAACTCCCAGACAGATGAAATTTCGATATTCAGATCATCGCAGTACGTCAGTACTGGCGTGAACAACCAAAACCGCGTGATTTTTAAATTTCACAATAAGGCCTGACAAATTATACAAATTCAGCAAAAAAAACTTTTTCGCAAAAAAAAAAACGAATTAATAAAACTATGATTGTAAAAGCTATGATTTTACAACATACAAACATGAAAAAAAAGCAAAAGTCTTTGAAGAAGTGAAGAAATTAACCAGTTATTGGCCAATGCAGAGCACCACAGTCTCTGATAAGGTAAACGACGATGACAGTGATTTAAAAAATGATGGTAACGAGGGGTCCTGTACAGTTAAACTACAAAATGCGAACTAACGGGGCAACGTAATAGAACAAACAACAACACAATTTGACCCAAATGCGTGAAAAACGAGTGGTCGAAGTGAGAGGACGCTTACTCACCGCACAGGTCCCACTCATATCTGATCCCACCAATCCATTCTAACTAAACGCAAGGGATATTTAATTCTCACTAAAGGCTCTTTCTTACCCATCTTTCAAATCCTTTTCGAAACATGGAAAAGACGCAAATCCGTCGTAAAATTCGTTTGCAGAGTGAAAAAATTAGGTAAGAGCACCAAATACCGGATTGTAGCGACAAATGCTTGGTCCCTTCTCCATGTATTCCGCTTTCGTATGCGCAGCTTCATAGAATTCCGGCTGAAAATTTTATGAAAAGAATTTACAGCAACGAAAAACAATGCCTGCATTAGAAAATGTATCAAATTCTGCATTTCATGAAAAATTTTCGCCATCTGCGATGAAACAACAGATGATTCAGGCATTAAAGAACTAAAACATCGCTAAAACATTTTCAATAATTTAACAAAAATACCGTATCGGCGAGTACACTGCCACCGAACCATACTGCATATCGTTGCATCTTGTGCGAAACAACTTGCACGTTGATCGGCTTTGGCTAAAAATTATTGGAGTGAAAAACAGAAAAAAAAGAATATACACAGAGTGATATTCTCGACCTGTTTCAATCGTACCCAAAAAATTTGGTCACCAAAAAGTTATAGAAAATTTACAACCAACGAGGCGCCATACATCAAACAGATGCGGCCATAAAGTGCGCAAGTTTGAGCACTTCGCCATTTGAGAATGAAGACGACTACAGGTAGAAAAGGGCTATGGCCAAAGATCAAAGTTCTTAGTTCAACTTCTTCCTAGCACATTTTTGACGAATCCGGGGTCATCAAATTCTTGCCGCTATAAGCTGCTTGTAGACAAACTAATCTTGTCAACTACTCTCAAGCACAGGCAAGATTTGGCATAAAGCAGTGGACATAAGCAAGTTCTATTAAAAGGGCCACCAGAACTCCCCAGACTATCTATGTGGGGTGTACAATCTACTGCTATGCAATCGTATGCCAAAAATAGCCATGCCATAGAGTCGTGTCTTGCAGGAGTTTGTATTTGCCTCATATGCAGTGCCTTCAAGACATAAAATAGCACCGTTAACTGTCCACTCGATAATTCTTCACTCATCGCTAGACGAGCATTCGAAATTCGCTTGATGTCGCGTTGCATACGGCGTGCAAAATCTTTGAACATTGTCGAACCACCGGAAAGAACAATATTTTCATAGAGACCACGCCGCACATCGATCGGGCACTGCTGAATCACCGTATCCACTAGCTCCGATATTGGTACTGTGAAATCGGGATTTGCGAACTGAAAAGGCACAAATTTTCATTTTATTCTGCAATACAATGAAATTGTGGTAAGCGTTTATGAAAGATTTGGTGGTCCAAACATGAAATATCTCAGACTCAGCAGTACTTCGGCTAGTATGTGATTCCAGTTTAATAATACCAGAAATTTAGAAATTTTGCGAACTTGGTGAATACAGTATAAGCGATTCCGCGCAGTGAAGTTTAACAAAAACTCTGTCCACTCACTTCCGGATGGAAAAAGATTTCTGGACCAAGAAATCTTTCGT